TGTGTGATCCAAAAAGTTTGGAGACACTTGCGATAGATCTTTTCTTCTTGGCCTGGATAACACACATCTAGCCTCTTTCCTCTCTGGACTCTCCCCATGCCCCACCCTGCCTTTAGTCTCATTCTCTCCTCACAGAGTTACCTCTTGCTGCAATTCAGCTCCTCACCTCTCAAGGTTTATAAAGAAAAGGGTGACTTGCTACTTGTATAATCACCTCAAGGGGCCCAGTCTCACCCCTTTCCCAGACTTGGATTTCCTTTCCTAGGCCTTTTGCCATCACCACCATCATAGTCTCACAGCTGTTGCTTCCCTGATTAGCAGCTATCAGGGTCGTCCTGTCTGCGGTCCCAGACTACAACCAGTTTCCTGCATCAGTTGGCCTGAGTCAACCCACTTTCTGAGTCATTTCCCACAGTTCCTGTCCCCTGACCTGTGCTCCAGCCAGACCTCACCTTTGCAGTCCCCTGGGCAGACCCTGAGTTCCCACCTCTGTTCCTTTTCTCGAAGTGCGCCTTGCCTCAGCCCTGCAGGTCTAAATCCCATCTGACTCCCAAAGCAGGGGCTCCATCTACCGCGGCGCTTCCCTGGAGCCTCCGACCACCAGGAAACGTCCTCCAGTGCCCCCTGGAAACTACCTGCACAGCCCCAGTGAGACTTCCCAGGTGCTGCTTTGGGTCAGGAGCGGCTACTTCATTTGTGAGCTCAGTACAAAAGGAAAATACAGGGGCCTCTGTTCAAAAAAAAAGAAAAGGTACCATTAAAGGTACTAAAATATAAAGCTTTTACCTTTCTTCCGAAAGCTGTCTCTTGACCTGTCATGGTGTTTTTGTTTTCTATTTAGTGTTGGTGGTCCCTCAGGCATGGCGATACTGATGGCAGACTCTCACAGGCATCCAGCCACCTCTGCTCTCCGCAACTGGGTGCTCACCCATCACTGGTTGACTGATTCCCCTCCCACCACAGCTGCTGGATCAGCGTGCAGAGCCAGGCATCTCCCTTCCCGTGGGCCTGTGCCCCAACCCATGGCAGACGGGCATTCCCCAAGGGGGATGCACTAGGTACCTGGATCAGGGGAGACCAAGACGTCTGCCCCTGCTGAGTACCAGCCCAGGGCAGAGACGGCTGCCACCATACCCTGTCCCAAGACACAGCAGGGCCCGTGTGCCCAGGCCCCTCCAGCCAGGGCTAAGAGGGGCAGTGGTTTCTGGGCAGCAGCAAGGAGGGGAGCTGGGAGACCTTGGGACACTGTGGGTCAGGGGAGTGGGCAGCTAAGACCACATCCCAGGGAAGTGAAGGAAGACAGCATGGTGTGTGAACCAAGGCTCCAAGCCACCAGGACATGCTTCACTGTCCCATCGGACTTCACTTACGAAATACAAACTCAAAGGGATTTCCCTGGCCGTCCAGCGGTTAAGACTCTGTGAGCTTCAAGAGCAGGGGACTGGGCTTCCCTGGTGGTGCAGTGGTTGAGAGTCCGCCTGCCGATGCAGGGGACACGGGTTCGTGCCCCGGTCCGGGAAGATCCCACATGCCGCAGAGCAGCTGGGCCCGTGAGCCATGGCCGCCGAGCCTGCGCGTCCGGAGCCTGTGCTCCGCAGCGGGAGAGGCCACGACAGTGAGAGGCCCGCATACCGCAAAATAAAAAAAAAAATAAAAAAAAAAAAAAGCAGGGGGCTCAGACCCGACGCCTGGTCAGGGAACTAAGATCCCATTTTTAAAAATTAAAAATTAAAAAAATAAAAGAAAATACAAACTCAAAGATAAGATTATTAAAAGCTTCATGCACCCTCATGTTCATTGCAGCATTATTCACAACAGCCAAGAAATGAAAACAAGCTAAGTGTCCATCAACAGATGAATAGATAAAGAAAATATGGTATCTATCTATCTATCCATCTATCCAACCAGATATATACACAATGGAATATTATTAAGCCATAAAATAGAATGAAATCTTGCCATTTACAACAACATGGATGGACCTTGAGGGCATTTGGCCAAGTGAAATGAGTCGGATGGAGAAAGACAAACACTATATGATCTTACTTACATGTGGCATCTAAACCAAAAAACAAAAACCCGACAAAACTGAGTTCATAGATACAGAGAACAGACTGGAAGTAGCCAGAGGTAGGGTGGTGAAGGGGTGGATTGGGGATGTGGATGGGAGGAATGGGTAAAGGTGGTCAAAAGTTATAAGCTTCCAGTTATAAAATAAATATGTCATGGGGAGGTAATATACAGCATAGTGACTATAGTTAATAATACTGTATTGTATATTTGGAAGTTGTTAAGTGAGTAGATCTTAAGATTCTCATCACAAGAAAAAAAACTTTGTAACTATGAATGGTGACTGATGTTAACTAGACTTATTGTGGTGATCATTCTGCAATATATACAAATATAGAATCATTATGAAACTAACGTGAATCACCTGAAACTAATATAATGTTATATGTCAATTATATCTCAATTTAAAAAGTAATCAAAAACTTGATGACAGGGCTTCCCTGGTGGTGCAGTGGTTAAGAATCCACCTGCCAATGCAGGGGACATGGATTCAAGCCCTGTTCCGGGAAGATCCCACATGCCGCGGAGCAACTAAGCCTGCGTGCTACAGCAACTGAGCCTGCGAGCCACAACTACTGAAGCCCATGCACCTAGAGCCCGTGCTCTGCAACAAGAGAAGCCACCACAATGAGAAGCCCACGCACCACAATGAAGACCCAACGCAGCCAAAAATAAATAAATAAAATAAATTTATTTTTAAAAAACTAACAAAACTTCAAGACAATGCCCACAGAGCGTTAAACCCCCAATGCAGGGCCTTTCTGACCATGGGGCCTGTGTGACTGCCCTGGTCTCACACCCATGAATTGGGCCCTGTTTTAGGTTATGATTATTAATGCCTATTGTGTATGTCCAATCTCCTCTACAAAGTCAATGTTTCCCTGACTGCTGCTCACTCTGTGGGTGAAAATCAAGACGTCTTTAGGTGATATGTGAGCAGGTATTTAAAACATTTTAGGGACTCCCCTGGTGGTCTAGTGGCTAAGACTCTGCAGTTCCACTGCAAGGGGTGTAGGTTCAGTCCCTTGTTGAGGAACTAAGATCCCACATGCCGTCCTGCCATTTTAATAGTTTATATTTATTTTAATGTACATTAGAAAAATTATGACTATCACATTCACTATGTTTCACAGTGGTACTCTCTTAGTTCAGGCTGCTATAACAAAACACCATAAACTGGGTGGCTTACCAACAACAGAAATTTATTACTCACAGTTCTGGAAGCTGGAAGTGTGAGATCAGGGTTCTGGTGAGAGCCCTCTTCCAGGTTGCCAATGGCCACCTTCTCAGTATATCCTCACTTGGTGAGAAACAGAGTTCTCTGGGGTCCCTTTTATGAGGGCACTAATCCCATCCATGAGGGCTCCACCCTCATGACCTAATTATCTCCCAAAAGTCCCACCTCCTAATACCATCACATGGGGGTTAGGTTTTTAACATAAGAATTTTGGAGGGACACAAAGAGTCCATAATAGATACATAGGCTCCCTTAGAAACAAATTTACTAAAGGAAAAAGTATCAGTTGCTCTAAAGAAAAATCTTAAGTAAACGATAGTACATGTGGTACTCAGATACAGCAAAAAATGCAACCATGGTGCTCAGAGTTTGGGAAATACCAGACTGTGAGTTCTTTACCATCATATATGGCTTGTCTACATGTTCACTCTACTTGCTGCATCAGCCTCCCTCAGCCCTTCCTTTAGGGGCAGCCAATGCTGAATGAATGAATAAGCAAATCAACCAATGGAAACTTGGACACCCAGAGCTGGAGCCTCTCCTTTGAAATTTTCATTTGCAGGACTTATTCTGATTAGTCAACTTGCACAGTATTCATTTCTACACATTTTAGAAAAAATTGCTAAAGAAATTAATTCCTTTAAAATATACAGAGCTTGTTTTGGGATAACCTGCCTGCCTTCCTTTTTTGGGTCTTCTCCATGACCACCAAGTTCAGAAACTTGGCGACATTCACAGCATGATGCAAAGTGCCATGGGCTCCCAGTTACCCTGGAAGCTGTGTCCTGTGTGTGATCTGAGATGACACTTTGTGACATGTATTTCCCCGGCAGTTTACCTTGTAGGGATATCAGGACAGAAAATGTCAGTTGATACCCTTGGGAGATCCTCGATGAACAAGTGGCGAAAACGTTATCACCAAAAAGTTCTCAGCCCTTAGAGAAATGGTCTCCAGCTTCACCTTGCAACCAAATTTCACCTTATCAAACAGCTACACGATTTTTTAAAGGACAAAGACTGAAATGTCACTCACAGCAAACATTTTGGAAGCAAGGTTTTCAAAAACAGAGAGAAAGGAGAAACACATTCTTAATGGTTATAGGCCAAAGCCACCACCAGCAGCCTCACTGCTGCAGGTGCCCTCTTTGCCAGGTGGCCTTTTTTTTTCTTGAATAATCATTAATATATGTTTATTTGGGTAATCTTCTGCCTATGTTTAATGAATGACAAGAAACGACACTCCTGGCATGCTGTTTTCAACCTACTGGAATATATCACTAGTGTTCTTGATTTTTTTATTTTAAAGTTTTGAGGTAAGCATCTTGAGTGAACTGACATATTTCAGGACTTATCACATAAATCAAGAGATGGATTTACATGTTCATTGTGAAAATTCAAACATCACAGATATGGGTGACTTAGAAAGTGAAAGTTCCCCCATAATTATGCTTTCTAGATATAATCAGTTTTTCTAGTCCTTGGTGGTTGGGACGCTGCACTTCCACAGCAGGGGGCGAGGGTTCGATCCCTGGTCAGGGAACTAGGACCCCGCATGCCGCAAGCCTCGGTTATATAAATAAATAAATAAGTAAATAAATAAAATGATTCATCAGACTCATATTTCTGGTCAGACTCAATAGAACGCCATGATTCCGAGGATCTGCTAAGTCTGACTTTCTCCCCATCACCACAGGACAGAAAAGACGACTTTCACCAACTCTTAGGAAATGGCCGACTCTTCTCTGAGACCATCCCATGCTCACTGCCCACAACCCACAACCTGTCTGCCCACCCCAGCTGTGGGGTCTGCTGTTGATCTCCATGCGCCTGACCAGGCCCACCCAGCTGGCCCAAAAGGTAAGCCCAGGCAGACCCAGTTTATCCACTGACCGCTATCCACACAGGAAAAGTTTGAGTTCCAGGGAAAAAATTAATTTGCTCCAAAATATACAAAGAAAAACTGCATGATCAAAATGAATACATGTTTAATTAAATGTCTACAAAGTGGACCATTATGTCAGCTACATTAATTGGTAAATTTAGTATTTATAATAATTTTGTTACATTTGAAAAATGAATTGAAAGTAACATTTTCTCTGCAAGAGTGCGTGGAGATCGCCTAGAAATAACATGTGTTGTTTGTTCATATCCTATTATTTCAAAACGCAAAATTATTAAAGCCAGTTAAAAATATTTGGCCATAAAAAAATATACACACACATATATGTGATTATGTTATATGTATATATACATACATCTATCATAGTGCAGGTTGTGTTTAAAGTGTTTGATATGTTGTTGGAATAGAGTCTTTAAAAGTAAGCAGAGGGCCCAGGGGCCACCCAGTTTTTCAGGAGGCCCAGACCACCCCAAGGAGCCCTGCACTCAGCCAACATGCCCTCCTGCAGGCATGAGATAGGAGTCGTGCTGAGTCCAGAGGAAGTTTTTCTTGAATCATCTCTAAAAATAGTCCCTATCCTGTGGGGCAGGATATTAGTGGCCTGGGAACCAGGAGATTCTGAGGCAGAATTTAGAGAGCTGACGAAAATGGAATCCCACAGCCTAGAAGGTATCTTCAAGGTTCCATTGGCCCTCTAGAAAAATGTAACGTTCTATCATTAGAGCCAATGTCTTTTTTGGCCTAGATCCCCACTGAACTTCAGTGCAAATAACTTCATGAGAAAATTGCTCTTTTATTTATTTTATTTTTATTTTTTTAAATTTTTATTGGAGTATAGTTGCTTTACAATGTTATGTTAGTTTCTACGGTACAGCAAAGTGAATCAGTTATATATATACATATACGTACTCCTTTTTAGATTTCCTTTCCCTTTAGGTCACCACAAATCATTGAGTAGGGTTCCCTGTGCTAAACAGTAGGTTCTCATTAGTTATCCATTTTATGCACAGTAGTTTATACAAGTCAGTCCCAATCACCCAATTCATCCCACCCTCCCTTCCCCCCTTGGTAGCCATAAGTCTGTTCTCTACATCTGTGACTCTATTTCTGCTTTGCCAATAAGTTCATCTGTACCATTTTTCTAGATTCCACATATGTGATATTATACGATATTTGTTTTTCTCTTTCTGACTTACTTCACTCTGTATGACAATCTCTAGGTCCGTCCACGTCTCTGCAAATGGCACTATTTTGTTTCTTTTTATGGCTGAGTAGAAAATTGCTCTTTTATTGTTTTTTTCAAAAAATTCCAATGTAACGTGTGTAATAAAGAGCACACATCTTAAGAGTATGGCCTAATGACTTATTACATAGATAGATGATGTTAGATAGATAGATAGATAGATAGACAGATCTCCCCAGGTTAACACCGTCCAGATCACCACAGACTACTTCTGTCTCCCCAGAAGTCTCCCTCTGTTCCCTCCCAGGTCAAATCCTCCCCTCCAAGGTAAGCACCATTCTGCTTTCTGTCACCATAGATTAGTTTTGCCTGCTTTTGAATTTCATATAAATGGAATCATGCAGGATGTACTCTTTGGGCGTCTCTTGCTCAACATAGCATCTGCAAGATTCCTCTCTCTGGCTGAGACTGAGCATAGGGCTTTTGGGTGTTCACAGTCATAGGTTTCCATGTGGCCAAGCAAGCCTATTCCAGCTTGTCCCTTCCTAGACCGTGCAGTTATCTCACCTTCCTCCCTCACAGCACACAGCTGCATAAATGCACAAATAAAAGTCCTTTTTTTTTTTTTTTGTGGTACACGGGCCTCTCACTGTTGTGGCCTCTCCCGTTGCGGAGCACAGGCTCCGGACGCGCAGGCTCAGCGGGCCCAGCCGCTCCGCGGCATGTGGGATCTTCCCGGACCGGGGCACGAACCCGCGTCCCCCGCATTGGCAGACGGACTCTCAACCACTGCACCACCAGGGAAGCCCCCCCAAAGTCCATTTTTTACAACGTAAATGTATTTTTTTTTCCTGACTACAAAACTTACACAGACTCATTTCTTTTTAACAGATCTTAATTGGAGTATAATTGCTTCACAATACTGTTAGTTCCTGTTGTACATACTTGTTTTTAAAAAAAGAAAGAAAGGAATTCTAGTTCTGAGAAGCTTGCATGGCTTACCCAAACACAGCCAGTCCATGGGCTGGTCAGTGGCCTTTGACCTGTGTATCCTGGCTCCGAAAAACAAACTGGGTCAGTCACATTCTCTGTCCCAGGAATGTGACCTCTCGAACTCAGAGGGAAGTTGCATTTGCTGGAGACATTGGTCCCACTTGGACTGTGTGTAGTGCTCCTCAGACCCTCCTCCAGGACCGAGGGGGCTATTTCCCCAGCTGCCGGCCTTCTTGTACCAACTCAGGACAGCTCTCAGAGGCCATCCCAGCTCCAGAGCGCCTTGTGGCTTGGGCTGAGGCCCTTGCTGAGAACTCTTGGCCGCCCAGTTTCTCCTATTGCTTGCTTCTGCTTCTCCCCACCATGCCTCCACCTCCCCATCCCAGGGGCATTAACCCCAGGGAACAGCACAATAAACTTCCTGCCCACTAATCTCCACCTCAGAGTCTGTTTCCTGGGGGACCACTCTGCCACCGGTGGAAAGAAAGGATGATGCAGAAGAATCAAGTGTGCCCCCCAGGTCTTTCCCTTCTGACCCTGCTGAGCCCTGTATCTTCTTCAGTGGGGTTGGGGTGGGGGGAAAAGAAGCTCGCCCACCTCTCATACATGCCCCCCACCTCCATGCTCCTGCACATCTGTCCTCCTGGAGAATTGCTCACCTGACACTCAGGGTCTCCAAAGGAAAAAGACAAGTTTTGCAGAGAGGCAAGGCCAGATCTAGTATTACCTATCTGAGCTTTAGTTTCTTCATTTGTAAAATAGGCCTTTGCCAAGGTCACTGCACCCCCTGTGTCTTTCCTATCACCCTCCATTTCCTTCCACGGTCCCTGCTTCCACCGTCCCTTATTTGGTCTCCCCTCCCCAATCTGTTACCGAGTCCAAGCTCACTCTGCTCGCCACACGACAGGACAATAAATCAGATGAGGTGTTGAGACAAGGAATAGTGACTTTATTCAGAAAGCCAGCAGACCGAGAAGATGGCGGACTAAGGTCCCCAAATAACTGTCTTATGGGGTCTAGATGCCAGATTCTTTTATAGAACCGGGGGAGGGGGAGGTGAGGAAGTAAAGTAAAACGGCCATCAGTCTTACAAAGCATCTCGCATGGCCTGCATGGGGGAGGGGATGTGTTAATTTCTTCTTTCCTGCAGCCATTCACACGTGGGCAGGGTCAGAATGCCTTCCTGTGAGCTGAACAAAGGCCCTTTAGTTTAACATTCAGGCAGAGGGGCAGGGTTCTTTGTGGCAGGCCATTATGTATGATTATAATAAGAAAAGCAACGAAAAGCAAATGTTAACCTATAAGAAACAGATCCAATATGGGGTCAGATTTGTCTCTTCCCTGTTACAAATCCACCCTCTACACTTCACCCAACAGCACTCACCAGTGCTGTGGAGGTGGTACAGCAGGGCATGGGTTCATATGGGATGGACATTTTACTGGGGAAAATGGGATTGATGACTGCTTTCACAATTAGCCATTTCATGGCAGTTATGTGAGAGCATTGTTCCTGATCAGAGCTCTTTAGCAGAGTGGGCTTTCAGAAGCCCCATTTAAAAAAATTTTTTTAATTTTATATTGGAGCATAGTTGATTAGAAATGTTGTGTTAGGGGACTTCCCTGACGGTCAGTCCAGTGGTTAAGACTCCATGCTTCCACTGCAGGGGACGTGGTTTCAATCCCTGGTCAGGAAACTAAGATCCTGCATGCCACGTAGCCAAAAAAGATAAAAAAGAAATGTGTTAGCTTCAGGTGTACAGAAAACTGATGCAGTTATACATATACATGGATCTATTCTTTTTCAAACTCTTTTCCCATTTAGGTTATTACAGAGTATTGAGTAGAGTTCCCTGTGCTATACAGTCGGTCCTTGTTGGTTCCCTATTTTAAATATAGCCGTGTGTACATGTCAATGCCAAACTCCCAATCTATCCCTCCCCGCCACACACACCCTTCCCTGCCCTGGTAATCATAAGTTTGTAACCAAGATGGACCTTATGGGGTCTTCCAGTGACAGGCCTTCCCCCATATCCTCTGCTTTAGCTCCTCTCTGAAGAACATAGATGACAGTATTTGATGCACATTTCCTGAGTTGTTTTACAGATGTGAAAACCCCTTACCAAATGGAAGATGTTAACTACTTGTTGGCCGTGAGCTCGGAGCCCCAGGCCTCCTGGAGCCTATAGGTTGATAATGTTAACCCCTGTGACACCACCCTGTTACCTCACCATCAGCCAATCAGAGAATTGTGCACGAGCTGATCACATACCCTGCAACCTGCCGCCCCAAACCTGGCTTTTAAAAATGCTTTGCCAGTGCTCACTTCAGCAGCACATATACTAAAATCGGAATGATACAGAGAAGGTTAGCATGGCCCCTGCACAAGGATGACACGCAAATTCGTGAAGCGTTCCATATTTTTTGAAAAAAAAAAAAAAGAATATCAATGCTTATACAATCAGAATAAAAGTAAATATCAAGTACAAAAAAAAAATACTAAATGCTTTGCCAAAACCCTTCAGGGAGCTCGGGGATTTTAGAGCATGAGCTACCCATCTCCTTGCATGGCCCTGCAATAAACCTTTCTCAGTTCCAGACTCCGATGTTTTGGCTTGTTTGGCCTCACTGTGTATCAGGCACGTGAATTTGTGCTAACAAGTTCATTCTCTAAGTTTGTGAGTCTGTTTCTGTTTTGTAAATAAGTTAATTTATATCATTTTTTTAGGTTCCACGTATAAGCAATATCGTATGACATTTGTCATTCTCTGTCTGACTTACTTC